ACTCTGTTTCTCTCTCTCTTTCTCAAAAATAAACATTAAAAAAAAAGAAAAGAGAGAGACACTTGCATGTGGTGCAGAGGTAGCAAACAGGAGACTGTATGAGGAGTGGTAACTTTAGCTGGTTGTAACTTACCACGTGACCTTAGTTGTCTCCTAGTTGGCAGCCTGTGGATTTAGCTACCACTCCTTTCTAATCTGCTTATCTATCTATCTATCTATCTATCTATCTATCTATCTATCTATCATCTATGATATATTCATTCCCCAAAGCTAACTATCCTCTGGAGCTAGAGATCAGGCAATGCCAGTGGTTCTGAACTTCAGTGTGTATTAGAATCCCTGGAGGACTTGTTGAAAGGTAGCTGAATTCTACCCAACTCCCCAAATTTGTACTTCTGATGAGTTCCCAGGTGATGCTAATGCTAGTCTGAGGAAGCACACTTTGAGAACCACTGCAATGTCAACATGTCAAAAGTGGACTCATCATCTTAGCCCCAAAAGTCTGCTTCTCTTCCTCTTTTCCCTCTCTGGGTTAATAACTCTAGCACTCACCCAGGGTTCTAGGCCAGAAACCGGCATTAGGGAGGAGAAAAGGGGGTAAGCAGTTTCTAGACTTCTCCATCTTACTCATTTCACAGTGACTTACCAATCAGGGCCACATCCCTTGTCCCCTTCTGTACCGCAAGAGCCTTTTCATTTATTTCCTTGCCTCTAATCTGCCCCTAGCCCCAACCCACCCCAATTAATCCATTCTCCAGATATTTCTTTTTTTTTATCTTTTTTTTTTTAAGTTTATTTATTTTGAGAGAGAGAGCATGAGCAGAGGAGGGACAGAGAGAGAGGGAGAGAGAGAATCCCAAGCAGGCTCTGTGCTGTCAGCACAGAGCCCCATGTGGGGCTCGAACTCACGAACCATGAGATCATGACCTAACTAAGCTATACTTTAAAAGGTAGAATTTAAGGGGCCCCTGGGTGGCTCAGTTGGTTAAGCATCCAACTCTTGGT